CTGCTGTATTAGGTTAAAAGAAATGCTGGCATGTTAGCACATAACATTATGTGCATTTTAGTTCTATAATATGTAATACAAATAAGTATATCTTTATTTATTTGTCTAGATGATTCTGAACTGAACTACAATGTAGTTATGCTGGAAATAAATATTTGAAGCCTACTATTTGATCTGTGCCACAGCTTTTCCTTGGTAGAAATAGAATGTTATTTGAATCTTTATATTACTACAAATCATTGTAACTAGGCTAAGCCTGTATACCAGTAGTTCTCAACCTGTGGCCTGTGGTTTCCTGGGGGGGGGGCACAATTCATCAAAGAGGGTCCATGAAGAGGAAATGTTATGATTTAAATCTTAAGTTTTGGGGATCTGTGGCCATAGTCATGGCCACAAAAGGTGTTTAGAAGAGGTCTGTGTGAAGAAAAAATTGAGAACCACTAATGTATACTGTATAGGGTGCCATAATACTATTATTGTTGCTGAAACTTTAATGTGCAATGATTTTTAGCATAAAGTTCATAGAAAAAGATCTTCAACTTCACAATTTGGTGTTCAGGGATTTGGCCCTTTAGAAGTGTTGGAATACAACTCATGTTGGGTCTGACCACTGCTCATGTTGCCTGAGAATGAGGGAATTCAGAGTCAAACAACCCCTGAACCACAGATTCCTCTGGAAGTAATAAATTCATTAATTCTCTTTTTCTTATATAACAAAAAATTGATTTAGAATCTCTGTTCATAGAATGAATGTAACTAAGCCAAGGACTCTTTCTTTTAATTATGCTAGTGTGCTGCTAAAACAAGCACCATTAATTAACTAATTCCAGTTTAGAATAGTACAGTTAAGTCCCAATTTTGTAAAATGAATGAAGAGTTCATTATTATCTGACAAAGAGAGTCTTTTTCACTCTAATCCTTAAACCAAAATTGCTGTAATGGTTGCTCATCACATTAAAAATAAGGTGCACTTCAGGCACCGACCTTAAAAGGATCTAAGTTGATGGAGGGGAATCTACACTTGCAATAGGAAGGACCTCTTTGATGAGTTTGGATTAAGTCTTATGAAATAATACAATGATTTATTTCTATTATGATTCATAAAACATTGGTTTAAAAAATAGGAATGTTTTATGTCCCTAAACCATATTGTGTCTTGGTGACTTAATAAATAAATTGATAGGACTAAGACCCAACTTTATAGCCATACAGTCAACAGTTCAGTTGAAGTCCATCATTTAATTTAGGCATCAGCTTTGCATGATAGTTTTTAAAAATATGAGCCATGTTGTAATTTTTTTAAGCTGAAAGTTCTCATTTTACTTCACAGATCACTTGCTGAAAACAAAGTTTTCATTACTTACAGCAGGGGTGTCAAACTGCCGGCCCGCGGGCCAGACGCGTCATCCCAAAACCGCGCCCACTCCATTGCCGGCAATGGAGAAAAAGTTCCGATATGTCGCGCGACATCACGAGTTTGACATGCCTGCCTTACAGGGAAGACAGGTTTTGAATCAGCAACCAACAATTTATTTAAGGTTACCTCAACCACAAAATATCCACTACCAAATTGATCAAAATTCTCCTTGCATATATTTCTATTGGATTGACATTGTGCCTAACAGATGAAAAGGGCAATTACTTGATCCACTAACACTCACCTTATAAACCTCTTCAAGACATCCTAAAGTATCTGATAATAAACATTTTTATGTCTCATGTAGACACAATGTCTGCATTAACTTTATATGTATTTTAAAAACAGAAACAACAGATCATGCCACAAGCTGAAATATTGCAAAAGTGGAAATCAGTAAGAATTTCGGTAATTATTTCAATAAATTCAGATTCCATATACATTCTGTCAAAAAAGGGACATATTTTTTCAAATCAGTAAGAAACTCTTTTTTGCTTATCTTGCTTCTGAGCTATAAAGCCAGGATGCCACCTGCTGGCATTATTTTTCATACTCTAATAGCTGCATAGGAGAGTGACAAGAGAGCATTGCTCAAAGGCAAAATGTGTGCATGGGATTCAGAAGGTCCCACTTTGAAATGATTCCTCCATCTTAAAGGCATCAAGTAGACGGAAATATAGATGGAGTCATATAGCATATAAGAAAACATTTCTTTCTGAACCTCTGTAGCTTCATATAGTAATGACTATATGAATAAACTGACTTTTAAGAAAATAGATTTTTTTAAAAATTGCTCTGCCCTTTGACATCATACCATGAAATATTTATGCTGGAATATAATGCCATTCTAAATTGAGAGTAAAATGTTTAGAAAACTTGATTTCTAACTCTGGATACCCTAACTCTGGATACCCTAAATGGAATAATGAAAGTAAAATTTGAAGAATTGTCATTGCAGGACAAATTGCATTACAGACAGTTTCACTTAATGACCCTAACTGGGACTGGAATTTCCACTGTTAAGTCATACAGTTGTTGGGTGAAATATCACATGATGATACCATTTAGCCACAGCACTTTTAGTAAGGACCTCGTGCTTCTCCTTCCTCTGCTTCACCTCCCCTGTCCTCCCATTTCTGCCTTTTTGATACTCCTCTGCACTAAATGTCCCAGCTACCCTGCGGTCTACCACCCCTTCACCATTATCTTCTTTTGGCTGCTCACAAAGCCTGCCTGGATTGGCACTTTGCATGGCAAGTCCTGACCTCCTTAGGAAGGCATCATATGGCCAATAACTGCCTTGCAAAGGGACAGGCTGGTGCATCTGATCAGCAGCAGCAGCAGCAGCAGCAGGAGGAGGAAAAAGACTGCAAAGGTCAGCTGGGAACAGGATGGGTGGTGGGGAACAAGGCAGCAGAGGTTGCCAAAGAGACAGAGATGGGGACAGATAGGCAGGTAAGGAAAAGTTGAAGTTGTCAGAGATTTTTCCACTCTGCAGTTAGTGGAACATGTGAGTGGGCTGCCAACTGCCTGAATTTTGATCACATGTCCATAGGGAGCTTGCAACAGCTGTAACTACTAGTACCAGGTGTAAATACCATTCATTCAGCACCACTGTAACGTCAAACGATTGCTGAAGAGTGGTTAAGCAAGGACTATCTGCAATGCATATCAGTGTAATGTGTGATTATTTCAAATATTAAAGGGTGAGATATAAGTTTATTTATGTCTAGATTCTATAAAATTCTATAAAATTAAGATTCTATAAAATTAATGGACTTTAAATAGGATCGTGATTATTTTGAACCCAGACTGATCAACAGAAGCTAAATACTTAAATATATCCATGCTCAAAACATTTGCTTATATTGAACATTGGCAATGTACACATCCTTTTATAATAAAGTCTTATAGGTACAGCGAGAAACATACAGGGCACCTGGTTAGCAAAATTTTGCTACTAACCCGGAATCCAACAATTAAATTTCAGGACTCTGATAGGAATCTCATCTGAAGCAGAAATGTACTGGTTGGCCACAGCAATATATCTTTAACTTCCAACCTGCAAAACAGACTGATTAACTGCAGGGGCAGCTACTAAAAGGAACTGGGCCAGAAAAAATGACAGATGCATAACATAATAAGCAGACATTAGATAATGGGAATTTCTCTTTTCTACATTTATAAACTCTTAACACACCATCCTCATTTCATCCCATCTCAGTGAAAAGTTTCCTTTGCTGAATCAAAGGAAGTTATTTGTGCTTATTTGTCTAATGCAATGTGACCTATTAATAAAGCCACCTAAAAGCTGTGAGGATTAGGTAGTTATATAGTTACAATGCATTTTTAATCATCCAGAGAGAATATCGCACATTGAGGGAAATGCAGGTAATAGCTTAAACAGAATAATATATAGTCTTTATTTTCCTTTCCAGAACAATCATTTTTCATGTCAGTATATAGTGCCAACAATTGTATTTGTCCTCCAAATTTTCCATCTTCACTTTATTTTTTTCCCCAAATAGGGGATACTTCCAAAATGAATGACAATGATTAATTCCAAAATTACTTTTTGGGATACTTCCAAAAAGACAGTCATTTATTTTGGAAGTGTCTTCTCATAGTCCCGCAAGACAAACTAGTCTGTGCCACTCACCAAAACACAGTTAGAACCAAAACATTGGTGACCCTCCTATTTCTGCTGCCTGCCTGAGACTGCAAAACTAGGAAGTGGATAGCAAGTCTTTGGCAAGTTACTTAATTCTACTGGTGATTTGCCATGCAGTTTGAGGTTCACACAACACGAAACTCTGTTGTAAGTGTAAACAAATGAAACCTCACACTGAAAGCATTAGCCACTGCTAAGGGATAGCTGAAGAAATTGTAAATTATTACTTTTTTAAAAAAAAACAAAAGCACCTTCCTGATAAATATATATAAAATGCTGCTTCCTGCTACTGAGGGCTGCACAACTGAACATTGTAACAAAAGCAAGGAAAATTGTTCCTTTTGAAATGTGTCATGTTTAATCCCTGAATAACAGTTTTTTTTTAATTTCACGTAAGCAAACATTTAACTTCAGATTTTTTAAAAAATTAAAGTATTTGGCTTTGCATAAACCATAACCATAACTGGTAGATTCTATTACATGAAATCTTTCCATTCATTTCATCTGCTTCTCTTTCACATTGACATTCAAAAGTACAGTATAGTAGATACAAACACATATGCATGACCAAAATTTCAGCTGGATATCAGTGCTTTACAGGACAATCCTTTGTGAACTTACTCAGAAGGAAGCCCCACTACACCTAACTAAATGTAACTGGGCTTATTCCCTGGTAAGTGTGCAAAGGATTACAATCTAACAGTGCATTCGCTAATATACCTACTTAGAAGTAAGCTCTATTGAATTTATTGGAACTTAGCTTCCAAGCAAATGTGAATATAGGACTGCAGCAGCTATTGTGAATCTATCTCAAAAGAAAACATACAACATTGATACAAATACACACACACACACACACACACACAACACACACACACATACAATCAGTATAAAAACTTATGAAAAATATTTTTTCGGAAACAGTCTTCCCCTGAGGGTATACCACATATATGTTGGATTCATAAATATTGATCTGCACTGCAGCTTAGTCATCCAAGTTCATTTCTTCCAAGATGTATAAATTGCTTCAGTCACCTGACAAGTCTGCAGTGGTTGCCTCAAGATATGTTCCCTACTGTAAGGTGATGAAGAACAACCGCATCAATGAGGCCTCCGGAAAATCTGGAGAAGATTCCTTCTTCCACATATGGAAGATACAAGAGCAGGACCAATAGGGAACAACTGTGTACCACATGGCCAGGATTTTAATGTTTCCTTACCCCCAATATAATTCATTGGTTTTTCTGGACCCAGTCCCAACTATCTTCATTCTCTTGTCTATTCTTCTCAGCCTCAATGATTTCTTTGTATTTTCTGCGAAAGAAGCCCATCTGCAAATTAAAGAAAAAAAGGGAGGAGGGAAGAAACAACTTTATGAATATTTGGATTCCTTTTTTAATTTGTAATATATATTCTCAGATTGTTTCACTACTCTATTAATAGAAAGGTACTCATCAGAAAACAAGCAAGATCAGATCAGGCTTCCCCAATAAGATACATTCCAGAAGCGTGAGACATATTAGGTGGAAATTCAAATATATGTATTCCGATACACATGAAGAGTATTGCTGCAGGCAGAGTTATGATTTGGAATTACATTGGGTATGGAAGATTCATGGTCCAGGTAATTATGAACATAAGAGAAAAAGGCATGTTGATTCAGAATACTCCAAATAAACAAACATGCTTCTGAGAAAGTAACAAGCAGAATATGAAGTTTAAAACTCTTCTCTGTTGTTGATCCCACCATTCACATATAAAGAACTGTATGATTTTTGCTTTCCTGTAGCCTGAATCCACAGCTGTTTTCTGATTCCTTTAATTATCACTATTCCTCTATTTACTGACAGTATTGCTCTGTGCTTTTTTACTTTCAAAGATCCAGATTGATACAAGAAAATAAAAATGGCCTTTGTTTTGAAACACAGACTTATAGTCCCTACTTCGTACTCTACGATCAAAATGTCACACATTTAGGAACTAAAAGCACCAAAAATGTATAATAACAGAAAAACAATGTTACAATAGGGTATTCTATTTGATTACGAGAAATGATAGAAGAAGCACTGAAATAAATTGATGTAGGAAATTAACCCCAATGTTAAAATATACTAAAACATTTTCTTCCCTTTTGCAACCTTCTCTATTTATTATCCTTTACATTCTCCTCCATCTAAAATTCCCTTGCTATTTGTTAGAACTTCCTGTTTTTTGATAGGAAAAAGATAACGTTTTTTGGGGATTCTAGGGCTACTATATATATTTTCTCAGCTTACAGTAGTTATTTTTAGTGGGGCTTCAGGAGAAAGGCTGATACTGTACTTCCCCATAAGGCTACCATTTGATGATCTACCTTTAGATTTTGCACAAGAACTCCTTTCTTGCCTAATAAGCAGAGGTTCTTTAGGAGGCACCTGCCCCCTTGGCATTTCAGCAGTATATTTGATGGTCATACCTTGGAATTAAGCGGCTGCTTTAAGAAGTAGCAAAGTGGAAAGGTTTTGCTACTCATTAAGATTTTTTAATAAATGGGGAGTTATATTGTAAAAATTTTAAAAAATTTTCAATAAAAAAAAAGATTTTTTAATAAATATGTACGAGAAGTAATGTAAATAAACTTAAGAGATATAGGACATAGTATTGTTAAGGGAAAAGAAAAAAATGTATTGTACATTATGTTTGTTTGTTAAGAAAAAAAAGGAAAAATAAAAATTAAAAAAAAAAGATTTTTTAAAACCTCCTTCACCTTTAACCATTATCCAAAATTATACCAAGTTTCAGTTTAGGAAAAGTTCAGCATAACTTTTTAAAAAAGTTTATATTAAAAGTATCTCGTGATATTCTGTAAGGAATAAATATTTCATATTCACATTAACTATTTTGGTACAGATTATCCACAAGAGGGTACAGTTGCAAACTCAAGACGTTCAGCATAAATTTTACCTTCTACACAAGCCCCTGAATAATAATTGCACAAGTATCCAATTACCCAGAAAGACTGCACTGTTTCAATGGAGATCATATTCGCTGTGACAGAGAACATCTGCAAGCTTTCTGTTCAGTTTGGAATTGTGGTCCACTATTTTGACTGGTCATTTAATATTAATTTGTGGCTTTGCAAGTTCCCCTCTCGAGTAAAGAAATTGCGTTCTGTAAACAGTTGATTCTTTTCTTCCTTACTGGGGTTTTTATGCCATTCCATAAACAAAAATAATTGCAAGAGATTTGGGTAAGCATTCAAGAGCAATTGCTCAAATGTAGCAGCATGGCATTGAGATCATTAAGTCAATATTTTGTTCATTGTAATTAAACATTTATGTAACTCCTACTGTTTTAAACCTGTTTTCACCCTCCTGCAGTTTGTAATGTTTTAGTGCACCTCCATCAGTCAGATGTTATTACTCTCTTTCCCAACATGGAGTGTATTTAAAATGTATAGTGTATTTGATCCTGCTAAGCTACTGTTAAGTATAGATTTTTAATTGAAAATCTTTTATCGAACTGTATGTCCTACAAAAATTCAGAATTTGAGGGTATTTCTGGTTAAAGGCAATGCTGAAAAACAAGAAAAAATATTATTTATATAATGAACTATGGGGTTGCATATAGCACTGCTGGACATCATGTTTCCATCAGCTTCATTCATTATTCTGTTTATCGTTGAGAAAGTTTGCTTATCTCACAACAATAACAACAATAATAAAGTTGGAAAGGACCTTAGAGGTCATCTAGTCCAACCTCCTGCTCAGGCAGGAAACCCTATAGCAGTGATGGCGAACCTTTTAGAGACCGAGTGCCCAAACTGCAACCCAAAACCCACTTATTTATCACAAAGTGCCAGGGCCGCATCAGCATTGTGGTGCCCTCAGGAGGGGGCAGGGAGGCACCTCTGAATGCCACCTCTGGCACGCAAAAACCTAGGGCACAAAAATGGGCCACCGTGCTGCAAGGCGCAAAAATGGCCATCGCCGCACCATGGGGTGCAGATACAAAGCACTACACCATGCAAGAACGGGGCAGGGCTAGTATCACGTGGGCACTAGCCCCGCCCCATTTGCAGCACGTGTGTGCTCGCGGCCCCGTGCGTGCACGCATGCATGTAAAATGCTTCCCCCTCCCATTTCTTCCAGTCCACCAATAGACAATGGTTGGTGACCTCTGCTCTATCACCTCTACTCAAGTTTGCTAGTCGGCCACTTCGCCTCCTTTGTGCTGGGTGGGGCTCCTGCTCCGGGTGGCAGTGGCAGCATATGGACCTGCTGCTGGCTGCAGTGGCGAGTGTGCCAACAGAGAGGGCTCTGAGTGCCGCCTCTGGCACGCGTGCCATAGGTTCGCCACCACTACCCTATAGCATTTCAGACAAATGACTGTCCAGTCTCTTCTTAAAAACTTCCAGCGTTGGAGCATTCACAGCCTTCGGAGGGGGCGGGTTGTTCCACTGATTAATTGTTCTAACTATCAGGAAATTTCTCCTTGGTTCCAGGTTGCTTCTCTCTTTAGTTAGTTTCCATCCATTGCTTCTTGTCCTGCCTTCAGGTGCTTTGGAGAATAGCTTTGGCAGCTGCAGCACACTGCTGGCTCATATTTAAGTGATTGTCCACTAGGACTCTGAGATCTCTTTCACAGTTACTACTATTGAGCAAGGTACCACCTATACTATACCTGTGCATTTGGTTTTTCTTGCCTAAATGTTGAACCTTACTTTTTTCGCCATTGAATTTCATTGTTTTAGATAGCATCCAGTGTTCAGGTCTGTCCAGATCCTTCTGTACCTTAAGCCTGTCTTCTGGAGTGTTGGATATTTCTGCCAGGTTGATGTCATCTGTTAATTTGATGAGTTCCCCATCTATCCCCTCATCCAAATCATCTATATCAACAACTCCCCATTATGATGGACATTGTGATAAAATTATTATAATAGAACAAATTTTGTAGCTCAGAAAAAAATCAAATGGTTTGCATAATAGAGTGAATTCGATGTACAACAACCTCAGAGCTGAAGCTTGTAATATGTTTTATTACATTAAACAAATAGCCACTTCAATGCCTACGAGAAATAATATTGCATTATGCCTTCTGAAAAATGTATGCTGTTGGAAAGCTATTGCATTAATATTCTAGTATCTGCACTGGTAAATGACTATCTTGCATCAAAAATATGCTGATGTGCTATAAGATCTTAGATGTTTTGGATTAAGCATATTTAAAGGATTTATTCATCTATCAAACCATTCCATTTTAACATTCTCTGAGCCTTAGTATGATTCAAGAGCTCTCAAAACATCCTTTCCCAATCTTGGTACCTTCCTTATGTTTGCTGTTCAGTCCACTAATGTTATTGCTGAGAATTCTGGGAGATATATTCATACAAGGAAATGGCAACTAAGTTAGGCAAGCTGCTATAAAATAAGTAAAAAGCTTGTCTTGTCTTTGGAATTCCTTTCCCATGGATATATTCAAAAACCGAAATTGTGTGTAAGCCATATTATTTCTAATTCCTCTGACTTTTGCTATATAGAAACAGAACAGAGATTAGCCTGAGGACCTGCAAGATGGACAAGAAGCTTACAATCAAATATGACCATTTTGTAAACACAACTGGGTCTCAGGAAGAAACAGACTGAAAGGAATCTATTACAAAAGGTGGGGTGAAAAAGCCACAGGATTTACATCCTAGGAAAAACATTTATAGAAAAAAAACACCTGATCCTTAGTTAGTAGGAGATTCCTGCTAGTAAGAGTCTTTGTATCTGCAATGATATATCTTATCCGTTCAAGTAGAGTTCCAGTTTTCTCAAGAGAAAAGTGAAAATAAAGGCAGGCATTTAACAGTGAGCAACATTTCCATACCTGAAATCAACATTTCATCTTTCAAATATGTAGCACTTGACATAGTGACTGGAGAATAAAATGAAGTGAGAGACCACTGAAGCTAATTTTCACATATTGGTAAGACTGAAAGAACTTAAAGGCAAAATACAGGAACCCCACAATGTATGCCAAAAGATGTGAATGAGTGAGTAAAGAGAACAAAGAACAAACAAAATTTAAGGCAGCAGCTCACAGAAATCTAAAACTAAATGAGAGCAGAATACTTGTGTCTCAGATACAAACCTCAGATAAAGTGGGCTGAATCACTTATGCTGAATCCAGCCCAAAATTACTCTAGAGGGGAAAAGATAAAACAGCCTTCCCTACCATTATGTCAGTTAGATGTGTTGAACTACAGATTATATCATCTCCAGCCAGCATGAAACTTCTAGACAGAGATAATATGAATTTTAACTCCAACATTTCTAGAAGGCAACAGAATATATAAGTTTCAGCTAAT